ATCACAACAGCCGCACATGTCAAACAGACGCTTTGCTTATTGTTTCCATACTTCTCTTTATAGAGCTCGCTGTGTACTTCGAAAAGGCTTTTACCGTCAACTCAGTAAGGATGTTAATGTCCTTGTACGGCTGTGGAAAGGCTCTTGTTTTATAGACCTTGAGTGCGGATCATTTCCTGAAGGAAGCAAGTATTTCATTTGATAATGAATAAGCTTTTAAGAACCAAGACAAGTGTTTCTGAAGGTGTGTGAGGAAAACTAAAAGAAAAACAGGAAGGAAACTGGCGTTAACTGTCCATTCACACCAAGGACAATCATTAAATCATTATGAAATTTAAGAAATAGGAGAATCTACACTATGTGAAAATAATGAAATGGAGTAAATATGTTGTTCAAATCATTCCTAGAGTTAGTTTTTCTCCATCTGAAGAGTGTTGAAAACATTGACAGCCAATCAGAATCCATCTAGAACAGGCAAGGTCATGCTGCAGTTTAGCTTCAACCCTAATCAAACACATCTCCCTGTAGCTTAAGTGATCTTGAACACTGCAGCTGTGTCCAAAACTGTTCACTTATTCACTAATCCCTACATAGTGTATGACAGCTGAGTCTACTATATATATATATAGTGTCAAAGTTTGGGTCCCCTCAACAGTTTTGGTGTTTTAGCAAAGTTTTAATGACCTTCCAGATATAAGAAAACTACATTAAGATATATAAGATATAAACAGATAGAAAATGATATGTACACAAAATTTTGTTCTATGTTTGATGTAATCTCAACCAAAACACGATGTGAGGGTGGGACAGTGTAGCTTTTCCTCTTTAAAAAAAAAAAAAACAGCCAATAGTGTTTTGTTTAATCAGTGCTCTGCCAGTGAGAGTGGTTGAGCTCAAGTGCATCAAATTAAAAGCAAATGATAAGAGTCTGGAAGTGGGAGGGGCATGTCAGATATTAAAGAGCATTTGATTGGTTATGTGATTCGAAACTGTAGTATGAGGTGATAGAAATAAAACATTGATCAATTTAGGCGGAAATGACAAACTACAAGCTTTTCATTGTAGTATACATTTATATATGTTCTAAATGCGAATTTTAGCATTGTTTTGGGGCACACTAACATATACATATTAATTAGATTTTACTATGCAGGTGTAAGATTTGTGATATCAGAAATATTTTGATGTCTTTGACAATTTAAACATGAGCCGAAAACAGAGACAATTGACTCCACAACCCAGCAGGCAGGAATGCGGGAAAGAACCAGCTCCCCCTCCATTTACAATTAAAATCCGTTTGTTCAACCACCCCAACTCACACAGTATGGTCATTTCAAAGTCTGAAAGTTATATATCAGCCCAAGTGACTTTATCCATCATGTTTGATATCATTTGAAATGTCTCAGTGCGACTGGTACAATGATCTCATTTCCTCAGAAATAGACATAATCAAAATAATAAATATATAACTTCAGGTATCTGAAGTTACGCTCTATGTTATGTATATTTTGAAGTCAGGTGTGCATCTTTTAATCTTGGATTTATCTTTGAGAATTTGATGTTTTGTATTGATCGTTTATGAATTGACTGAATGAATTGGCGTAATACACATTTGCCTGGCTAATAAATTGTTATGTTTTAAATTATTCAAACAGAGTTGGTGTTATTATCTCTAGTAGATTACGTTAAGTCCATAGCAATACAAGCCCTTGTACAGGTTAATAACGGACTAAAACACGATAGACGGAGCAGCGTGGCACGTTATACAATGTTTTTAGAGATCTGACTAACACACTGGCATTAATTCATGTATACTTTAAAAGGTTATCTAAGGGGATAGACCTTCATCTGTTAAACTTATGATACTATTTGGATAGTATAGTGATTACTAAAATGTACTTATAGTTTAAATACGACTGGTCCGCTTAGTTCTATAGTAATGATCATTATATGACTAAATAGCTCTGTTTGATTTAGGAGGTAGCAGCTCTATGGGGACCGCATAAAAAATATCCTAATCTGAGTAAGTAGGGTTCTGCCTTTTTAGGATAGCGGTCATTCACCACTGTTTAGTGACCAAGACTGACATGCTTGCGCTTAAGAGATTGTATACTCTGCCGGTACAAGACTCAGGATATTATAGAAATCCGAATGAATGAGAATAACATAAAATAATGAACCGAAGAGAATATTCAATCATAATCTAAAATAATGTTAAAGCAAACAGAATCATCTTATCAATGTTTTATAATTGGAGTAAGATAAAACGAGGATAAATATATCAATATTCTAAACCACCTCATACTAAAATTAGAGTCAGACATGAGTTAAGTTTAAAGTAAATCAACATTCTGCAATGTAAAAACCGAACATGCAGTGAACCCTCCACCACCAGTGGACACCGTCATTGGACCAACTGGCTGGACCTAGACACAGGATAGGGTAATTAAGTTATTCTATAACGATGGTTTCTTCTGTAAATTATCGGAAAAATTATCGGCTTATAATTTTGACCTTAAAATGTTTGTTTTTCTAATGTAAAACTGCTTTTATTTTAGCTGAAATAAAACAAATAATACATACTGTGAAAATTTCCTTGCTCAGTTCAACATAATTTGGGAAATATTTAAAAAAGAAAAAAATTCAAAGGGGGGCTAATAATTCTGACTTTAACTGTATCGTTATAGTAATATATAGTCACTGCTCTAGGAGTGAATGGACCTGAACACTTTTTTTTTTAAAAAGTCATTAAAAATGAAATGTTCATAACATCATGCAGTTTACTATAAGGGAGAGTAAATGAGCCACAAAATGTTTCTGTGTTCATTTTGTTTTAAATATGCATAAAGGAAAGCTAGTTAAAAATAACACTACAAGAGTGCTGTTCCCAAATATCAGCCCATTATAAAATGGCATTGATGTCAGTGAACAGGAAGTTAGAATTAGGTTACTTGTCATTTCTAGTTTAGACTCGCTCATATTGTCAGGTTTTGCTCCATTTCGCCTATGAAACTAATCCAACGCAGGATCACTGCATGTCTCAAAGCAACACGGTCATTATTTGTAAATCGGTAGTTGTGTTTATGCACATTATGAAGTATCAATTTATTTTAATTCACAATTTCTATAAAGAAATATTCACTTTCTATAACGCTCATGCTTATAATTAATTATAACTTTATAAGATTGTATAAGATATAGAATTTATAATTGAGTTATAAATAATTAGAAGAATGAGCTTCATAGAAAGTGATACCTTTTTTTTCTTTTTTACACTTGCTTGGGGTTGTTTTGGACCTTTTCTTTGCAAGAAATAAAAATGCGAATGATAAGAGATAGAAACACATTTGTAGAATAAACTGACATAGCAAACATTATACTCACGTGACCCCATTATAGTTGCTTTGTTTACTGTTGGTTAATAGGTTACCATTACTACAGTCAGCCACTCCTAATTTGCACTTCATTCATGCAGATTCACTATATGTTAGAATGGAATCCCAGCTAATGATTCAGCCACTCACTGATTTAATGATTTTCATAGGCCTATATGTAAAAGTATCTTATAACTTTTGTAGAAAATTTATTTTAGCAGCAAGTTATCAAAAGTCAATAGTTGCTTAATAATAGCAATTTGATGAAGAACTGGACTGCACTAGTCATGCTGTTTGTTTGAGGAAATGACTTGTTAAAGCTGGGACACACAAAGCCAATGCATACATATATACATATAGTGCAGATGAAATCCAACTGTGTTGTCGCTTCACATCTGCTTGTGCCAAGACCAAAAGCTGCTCATGAACACACTAAACGGATGGTGGCTGAGTGATTCAAGAATGTACATTCTGTGCCAGTATTCTGTTCACAACGGGAAACTAAAACTTCCACATGCAAAGTGTAAACAAAGCAGTGTTTAGTACCAATAACTTACCACAGAGGGATTCACTCCTGCAATCAGGGTATCTTCAATCCATTCCATATCCGTTTCCAAACAAAAAAGGAAAACTAAGAAAACAGTCTTTTTTAAAATTTTTTTTCTTTTGCTCACAAAAACTGAAAAAACGAGATTTTGGCTTGATTTTTGTTATAGGGTAGAAAAACCGATAAAAGCCTTTAAAATTAATTTTGCACATGTAGGCGTGCTGAAACTGCCCTTTTCCTCTGATTGGTAAACCAAATCTGAGCTCATGACGTCGCTCTTTTTTTAATTTTCTGCGAGCAAAAGAAAAAACAAAAAAGGCTACCTTTTTTTGTTTAAAAACGGATATGACATGGACAGAAGATTCCCTGATTGTCTGATAATCTAATAATCGATATTGTTTGCAAATATTTGAGAAATTTTAAGAAATTACAAAATGTGAAATTGTTTACTTACTATGTCACTTCACTACTTCACACTCACGCTCTGATTCGTTACTGAATAATCTCTTCAGCTGACACTGATTCGACATGGTGGATTGGGCCAATGAACTGACATTAATTTGATGAGTGGAACACATCAAACCAACTAGCTGGACCATCACTGACCGACAAAGCCCAACAGCAGACTGTCAGCTGCGTGTGTCCTGGCTTTTATAATCATTTGCGCAAGCTCTGATAGCTGCATTGTATGTTGTAATAATAATAATTTGTATGTTAATAATAATTTGTATGTTGTAAGAGTAATATTTAGTAGGTTAATAATAATAATAATAGTAATAAAACTAATCATTTGTATGTTATAACAATAATAAAAAGAAATAATTTGCATTGTATGTTTTTTAAAAAACTAAATATTATCTCAAAACATTTAGAAACCACTAATTAATCTCTGAATTGATTCAAAGTGCTTTATGTTTTATTTTGTATGATTTTGTCTAGGTATTACGTTGCAACCTGATATCTGATGTAAAATCCTGTAAGCATTTGAGAACCCCTTGTTTACATGATCTGAACAGTAATTAGCCTTAACACACCACGCCGTTCATGTAAATTGAATGAAGCAGGAGAAGAAACTCACTTCATACAGCATTTGTGTTGGATGTGTCAGCTGGAACCCCTTCATGTGCGTTTAGCGGAGTGTGCTTGTCATCTTCATCAATTGTTTGCTTCTTTCTCTTCTTTTTTCTACATGGTCTATATCGTTTACTGTCAAACAAAACACAAAGAACAATACAATTAAAAGACTTCAGCAGGTAGGAAGAAAATGCTTTAGAATTATGCATCTACTCACTGTGTACAGACGCAAATGAAAACGATGAGCAGAATCAGAAACACCAATCCTGCGACCACACACGCAATGACTATTTTCCTCCGCTCTCCGACATGGAAATCAATATCAAGATATTCACACCTTGATCCAATATATCCTTTTTCGCATCTGTGCAAATGTAAACACAGTACAATTATTCAGCATTTTCTTGAGCTGTAATTGGTCGGCTGCTGGACTGGTCAAAGTCTCACCTGCATGACGGCGTGTTCTGCTCCTCTATGAAACGGCAAACACCATGAATGCAGAAATGCTTGTATTCTTTTGGACAGGCAGAGAAGTGTCCACTCCATTTCTGCTCATCTTTTGAATCTGTAGAAAGGTCAAAGATAATTAAAAAAAAAATTATGCAACAAAACAAAAGTGCAATACATACTTTTCATATTTGCAGTGCAATTTTATTTATTTGAGAATTTTTTGTCATTAAAAAATTAACAGGGCAGCTCCAATTATTAATCTTAAGCATAATTAAACTTTACACTTCCACAGTCTTTCAAACTACTAGTTTAAGGTAATTTATGGCTTTTTCATAATTAACTATATTATAAAACTTATCATCATCTATCCTTTTATATAAATTTTATGGGTGCAGGTCAAAAGTAAAAAATAAATATTTAATATTTTAACATTTTGTTTTCACAAAAGCCATTTAAAACGCAACAAAAGTAGATACTTGCATTTAAATTGTGATATAATAATATAATTTTTGTGAATTCTATTTGTTTTGGATACCAAAACAGGTCTCGACTTTGACCTCATTATTTAAATGATTTAATCTTTTTTGCCATTTAAATAAAAGAAAACATTGGCTAAAGATTATATTAAAGATTTATTACTGTGAATTTTATTCTTAAACAGGCAGGAGTAAAAAAATTATGAACAAAAAATCACTTCATGTAACTTTTTATGTAAACTTGACCCCAAGTTAAACATATCCAAGTGTTTATATTGATTTATTAAGGATTTTATGAGTTATGGGACATTCTACCAGAAAAGTACATTATCTCTCCCTGAAATAAAAACAAAGACAGTGAATAAAAAGTATTTCATCCTAAAAAAAAAAAAAGTCTAAAATTGACTAATGGTTGATTTCTGTGAGTTGTTCTGTAAATTTAGAAAAAAACTTTGAGAGCTTAAGTTGTTATTCAATCAATTAAATCAATTTATTAAAAACATGAAATTATAAATAAATTCTACAAATAAATACTATTTTACAATTGTCCCCTTGTCAGTCCAGTCACAATTGGATTCAATTTAACATAAAATGTGTGCAATACACCTTTGAGGTTATGACTCACTTGACGGAGAAGAAGCAGACAGTGTTCAAGGATGCGTTCTATTATTGAATTGTATGATTTTATGCTTGTTTTTGTATGATTTGTTTTGAGGATAACAAGCTTAAAGGTCAGACCCTGTCAAATGTTATAAGGAAAATGTATGTTTCTAGTAGAATGTCCCTTATATTTCCATGAATAAATTGCCTTAATAGCATATTGACTTTTTTTTTTCAATGTGGAAGTGTGCTCGTTTTTGCAATTGTTTTAGAACTTTCGATTTAGCTGCCTATGGAAGAATTCATTAGGAAAAATAAACGTCAGAAAACAGTCCAATTACTTGCTCTACAAACAAGTGTTTGCATGATAATACAGACAAAGCAGAATCATATAATAAGAAAATGTCAGTTTGCAACATCAAGCTGTTTTCAAAAAAATGAATGGAAGTGAACCGGAAGTCTCGAGCCAAAAAGATTCAAACGGCTGTGCACACTCGTACGTGAAGAATAAGGTGAATAGAAAAGGACCAAGTCATTATGATCATTTTAAAAATGTGATTCTGCCTTCCCCTCTTATTTTAAAACTCGCCAAAGATGTTTAATTACTAACTTTAAACAGTGTCAACAATAGACTTCATCTAAACGAGTAATTATAATTTTTGTTCATGATTGTTACAAAAATAAATAAATAAGTTATTTTAAAATATTAACTCTAAATGAGCACTAAATGACTGCAAACAGTTAAACTAGCAGAAGTGAGCATACAAATTAAGTATTCAAAAAGTCCCCCAACTGATAAATTGAAATATTACTGAATAAGCTAACATTATATTGCATTATATGGTATTGAGCATCTCTTAAACCCATAGCAATGTAACCACAGTTCAACTAGTTAATCAGAGTCTTTTTCCATAACTTTGAAGACCTCATAATCACTTTAGATTTTAACCAGAAACACTAGCAATATTTTAACTTGCAGTATATTTACTAAATATCATTGTAAGAAATTAATCCAAAACTAAAACATGATTCACATACTAAATAAAAATCTATTATATCTAGCTATTTCAGCAGGTTGGCGCCTATAGAACTGCAGAAATAATGGTGTTGCCTTGGTTTCTACAGTAAACAAAGCAGGATGATTTCAAATTTAGCAGGAGTTTATTGATTTTATAAACTACACAGCATTAAGATATTCTCAGATTTAATTTAGGCAAACTTTAGCATACATTGCAGAATCAAAAATGATATAAAATTGCAAAACAGCATTTAAGACTTTTTAATACTTTTTAAGGGCCTTAAATTTCTCTAAGTTGATTAATCAACTTTTAGTACTTTTTAAGAACCCACGGACACCTTGTATAACTCATTCACAATATTATGTCACTAAAAAAAGCAAATTGTTAAGGCCAAGCGCTGTTCAAAGGATTGTGTCAGAATGTTCTACAAACACTGAAACCTGAGCTGTGACTTCAGAATGAACTAAAAGTTGAATGGGAAAGCATCTAATTACCACCTCTGGCCACACGCAACATGATCTGACTCAGTCATAGGGGATTTACCTGCTATACAGACATGCTAAACTCGAGCTTGAAAGCAAATAAAATTAAATAAAAAAATTTTAAAAGAGTTTGAAAGTTACCAAGAAGCTGAATTATTACCATAAGAGTGCACTTTTTCTTTGTGAATAGATTACAACGCCCTGCATGATAAGCAATTGAATTTGAAAGATTTTTTTTCCCCTAGTGATCAAATAACTCAAACAGCAAAACTTCAAGCTTTCAAAAGGATTTTTTTATTTTAATATCCTATTTATCTCTTCAGCAGGTGGTCACGCTATCCAACCTTTCATGTCATGCCCAGGGGAAACCCATTTTTTACAACACAACAGGGGGAAAGACCGTGTTACATCTCACGTCTTCAAAGTCAGTGGTAGTCAGACTCACCACAGCTTTAGAAAATATGCTTTTTGCATCTTTGAAAAAGCAGAAAAACATTGCAGGCATGATTAACTATTTTTGAGAAGCACATGTAGGGGCGATTTTGACATTTACCTGTGCAGTTGCTGCTGTTTGCATGGTGCTCGCAGGACACAGTCCTATTCGCTGGGGCTTTTGTGGCATTCCATTCAGCCTGGGAGTGTTTGCATAGGACAACAGCTGAGGATAGACAACAAACAAATCACAGGTGGCACCATGCATGCATGTATGTGGCTTTAGACTGCCTTGCAGGATTCCAGGCAAATGCTATACTGGATCATGAAGGCCTTTTGATTGTGGTTACACTTTAAAAACCCTCCCACTGATATTAACCAATAGAATGTCTCCTAAAACTGAATTCCAGTGCTAAAAATAGAAGACTTCCATAATAGTAGATAAGACCTTATATACTGGTATTATTTAAACACTTTACGTAGAAAACATACTGAAATCAATGTACTAGTAGTATGCATTGAAGTGTACTATTTCAGTAGGCTGGTACGGACTAACCTGGCCTAGTTTTTAGCTAGAAGTATAGTTTTTTTACTTAAAAGTATAAATTTTAAAGTATTTCTGATAGAAACTGAACACACATGGTGTACAATAACACACATCAAGATCCCAGTGCTAAAAATAGCAGTAAAAGAGAAAGAGAGTCGCGCCCACTCTTTATGTCACAAGTACATTCACAAATGCAAGCAAATTAATAAAGAGAGCTGTTGAAAGACTGAAAACATGGCAAACTGGTACTACTGCTGTCTCTGGTGTTGTAAAATGCGCTCTATCTGTTTTGCAGGCGAACAAAACACAGGAAAAGGCGTTGAATACAAAACAATGATTGAATCTTACCTGAGATTATTGCAAAAATGAACCTGCGCGTCCTGTCCATTTGTAACTACGCGTGCACGTCAACGCGAAAACGTCGACCTCCGTGCTGCTTTAGATTCAGATGTCATGTCGATTATTATATTAAACGACTACTGTAACTTTTTCAAGTCTTCTCAAACTTTAGCGTCTGTTTTCCTCAAGTTTAGGAGACACTGAGTGGTTGTCTAGCGATTAGTCCTGAACTGTTCGTGGGAGGTGCTTGAGAGTTTACTCCGCCTTTTTGCTGTGAATGAACGTCCATGTAGTCTTAGGTAAGTTTTAAGTATATTTGAACATACTACATACTACAATAAGTGTAATAGTAGATTAAAAGCGTACTATTTCAGAAAAAAATGGGACTAAATTGGCCTAATAAATGTAAACAAAGAGTACACTGCAGCCTTCATTTGCACCTCAGTTATACTACAATTGAACATTAACTGATAGTTTATTCACTCCTTGTAGCATTTCCCCTTAATTTACCAAACCATTTATTAAAACAAGGTCACTTTACTTATCTTTTAACACATTTCACCTGTTTGCAAACATTTTTTTTAAAAGATTATAGGCATCCCCCCACCCTAAAATTGCAATTCTGTCACCTTTCACTCCTCTTTGCCTTGTTCTACACCAGTTTGAGATTTTAAAGTATCCAGATTAATAAAGGGACTAAGTAGAAAATAAAATAAATGAATAAATAAGAAAAAAGTATTTGAGTTTGCAGTTTGTACAGTAATTTGTGTGCGGTTGAGTTCTGAGTGAATTAAGAATGTGTCTTATGGAAACTGTACAAAACTATCTGAAACGTTGCATACTGTGTCTAATAATGATTGGAATATGAATGTTTTTATTGACATTTTACCCACAAAGTAAAACTTTTAATCAATTTCAAACACAAATGCACATTTTACTTATTTGAAATGTAGAAGGGAAATTAATATTTAGTTGACCTTCACGTTAACTTAATATTGTACGTTTATTGAGCATTTTATTCTCCTCACAAAAATATTTAGAAATCAGATAACTGCTGTCAGCCTTACACTGTAGTAAACCACCAACTGGAAACCCCTGGACTCCAAACAGTACAGCCGTAGGCAAGGAATTGCAGAAAGATTTAAAGGGAGAAAGACAGAGGCTAAACTCATGTTGAGTAAAAAAAAAGCATTTTTTATTGAGTGCTGAAAAATCAATGACAGCGTCACACACAATCTTAAAGTGGAGAACTCAACTTTGACAACTTGTTGAAAAAACAAACAAACAAACAAATGCAATCTCAAAAGAAAAATGAAAAAGAAAAAACTAAATCTGAAAGTTTTCAAGTTGTTATTGAACCACAACTGGGTGGTCGAAATATTTCAGACAGAGAAAAAGAAAATATTTATTGCTGTCAGGTAAATATGTTCATATATTTACTGAGAGAATATTTATTTATTCATCTATCTTTTTTTCGGCTTAGTCTTTTTATTAATCAGGGGTCACCACAGGGGAATGAACCACCAGGTTATCCAGCATGTTTTTACGCCGCAGATGCCCTTCCAGCTACAAGCCATCTCTGGGAAACACCTGTACACTCTCATTCACACACATACACTCCGAACAATGTAGCCTTCCCAATTTATTGCGCATGTCTCTGGACATGTGGGGGAAACCGGAGCACCCAGAGGAAACCCACTTGAACACCGGGAGAATATGCAAACTCCACAAGGAAATGCTAACTGGCCCAGCTGAGGCTCGAACTAGCGACCTTCTTGCTGTGAGATGACAGCGCTTACCACTGCACCACCGGCTGCCCCTGAGAGATACTTAAAGCATATTTAAAATCTGCTGCAAGTAACCATTTCCCTGAAATATTAGTATAAATTAACTTGTATGTAGAATTAACTTACTCAGCTGGGACTTGAACAATTGACCTTCTTGCTGTGAGGAGACAGTGCTAACTACTGAACCATCGTGCCACCAAATCAAGTTTATTTTTGATTATATATTAAACTCAGCATGGATATTGTTAGTTTAATGTCTCTTTAGTCTACATTTTTTCTGTTTAATCAAAATTCTAAAAAATATCTTCTTTGGTGTTCAGCAGAAATTAAAGCAACCATTTAACATTACTATTTATTATTAACTTTAGTAAACAGTATAGATAAGGTGACATGGTGGCTCCGTGGTTAGCACTGTCGCTTCACAGCCAGATCACTGGTCAATTCCCCGCTGGGGCAGTTGGCATTTCTGCGTGGAGTTTGCATGTTCTCGTGGTTTTCACATTGGTATCTGATTTTCGCCATAGTCCAAACGCATGCACTATAGGTGAATTGAATAAACTAAATTGGCTGTAGTGTATATGTGTGAATGAGTGTATGTGTGAATGTGAATGGGTGTTTCTCAGCTATGGGTTGCAGCAGGAAGGGCATCACTTGTGTAAAAAATATGCTGGATAAGTTGGCGGTTCATGAATCAATGAATGAATGAATAAACGACTATGTGAATATAACAATTATGAAAATTAACTACCCACTGCACTCCCCATTTTAATGTCTCATTTGTCTACAATGTTTACGATTAATCACAATTATTCAAAATATCTTCAGGAAACATTACCTATAGCACCTATAGCAATTTAGTTTATTCAATTCTCCTATAGCAATTTAGTTTTTTCAACTCACCTAGGGCACCTATGGCAATTTAGTTTATTCAATTCACCCATAGCAATTTAGTTTATTCCATTCAACAATAGCAATTTAGTTTATTCAATTCACCTATAGCACCTATAGCAATTTAGTTTGTTCAATTCTCCTATAGCAATTTAGTTTTTTCAATTCACCTAGGGCACCTATGGCAATTTAGTTTATTCAAATCACATATAACACCTATAGCAATTTAGTTTATTCAATTCACCCATAGCAATTTAGTTTATTCCATTCAACAATAGCAATTTAGTTTATTCAATTCACCTATAGCACCTTTAGCAATTTAGTTTATTCAATTCAGCTATAGCAATTTAGTTTATTCAATTCACCTATAATAATTTAGTTTATTCAATTCACCTATAGCACCTTTAGCAATTTAGTTTATTCAATTCAGCTATAGCAATTTAGTTTATTCAATTCAGCTATAGCAATTTAGTTTATTCAATTCACCTATAATAATTTAGCTTATTCAATTCACCTATAGCCATTTACTTTTTTCAATTCACCAAAAGCACCTATGGCAATTTACTTTATTCAATTTACTTATAACAATTTAGTATATTCAATTCACCAATAGCAATTTAGTTTATTCAATTCCCCTATAGCAATTTAGTTTATTCAATTCACCAATAGCACCTATAGAAATCTAGTTTATTCATTTCACCAATAGCAACTTAGTTTATTCAATTCATATATAGCACCTATAGCAATTTAGTTTATTCAATTCACCTACAGCAATTTAGTTATGTCAATTGACCTATAGCAATTTATTTTATTCATTTCACCTATAGAAATTTAGTTTATTCAATTCACCTATAGCAATTTAGTTTATTCAATTCACCTATAGCGCCTATGACAATTTAGTTTATTCAATTCACCTATAGCACACATAGCGATTTAGTTTATTCAATTTACCTATAGCGTCTATGGCAATTTACTTTATTCAATTCACCTATAGCAATTTAGTTTATTAAACTCACCTACAGCACATATGGCAATTTACTTTATTCAATTCACCTATAGCACCCATATAAATTTATATATATATATATATATATATATATATATATATATATATATATATATATATATATATATATATAAACAACATTCATTTATTTTATTTTCGGCTTAGTCCCTTTATTAATCTGGGGTCCCCACAGCAGAATGAATCACCAACTTATCCAGCATTTGCTTTAAGCAGCAAATGCCCTTCCAGCTGCAACTTATCACTGGGAAACACCCATACACACTCATTCACACACATACACATACGATACAATTTAGCTTACCTAGTTCATCAAAAGCATGTCTTTTGACTTGTGGGGGAAACCAGAGCACCCAGAGTAAACCCACGTGCACACAGGAAGAACATGCAAACTCCACACAGAAATGCCAACTGATCCTGGTGGGGTTGGAACCAGTGCTGTGAGGCGATTGTGCTACCCACTGTGCCACCGTCATGCCCCTTGTCATTAAACAAATACATGAAAAAAAATATGAAAACCCAGCATCATATTTATGTGTCCTTGACATAAAAACAAACAGTAAAATGTCTCGATTGACAGATTCAGATGAGTACAATCAGCTGGAAGGGAAGCCAAAATCTCTGAATCTCCTTATGATCAGAGACAGTGGCTGTAATGAAGCTGCTGGAATGAGGGATCGTGGGATTTCTCCTGGGAGATGGAGATGTTGTGTGGTTGGCAGGGGTTGCCAGATTGTGCTCTCCTCATCACACAAGCTGCGTCTTAAAAAGTGCCACTGTAAACAGCGAGCCCTTCAGCATCTGTCACCGCAGGACTCACTGCTCACGGCCATCACCGTCCAGAAAAACTGAGCGTTCAAAAAACTGTGAACATGGTACTGACTGACTGCACTATTACTGTTAATTTTTAGAATTGCGCAACTAATATAATTAAGAATAACACTGATAAATAACAAATATACATTGTTAAGTACAGAGTGTCTGTAGGTTAAATCAAGTGATATTTTAGACTTTTTAAGAAACTTTTAACACCATAAAGAATGAAATTTTAGACTTTTACAGGGTTAAGATTTTTTTCGAGTAGCCCAGTATTATCATGAGGAATTGTGTAATTGCTTTAAGTTTTTTTTTTTTTTTTTTCTGATAAGAGAATTTCATTTGGGGTATTTACTGTAAAAATGTCCAACAGCTGTTGTGAATTGTATCTCTTTGCTCTAAAAAACCTAAATAAATATAAAAAGGTTTTATTGAGATGCGTTGTTGGTCATTAGATGGATATCGGATTAAATTGAGTAGCTTTACTTGGACAAAGTAAAAGTAAGACCTGTTTGAAACAATTTAAGAACTACA